CAATGGAACTGATTTCCAAGAATCTCCGTCCCTACAGCACTCTATGCCAAAACAGACACTCAACTGACAGGAAGGTGTAAGTCTACTGCCTGAAAGGCAAGGATATAAACTGGGCAATCTTTCAAGATCCGTTTTCAATTCTCAATAGTTAAGATACAAGGGAACTAGCTTTATTCCAGTGATAATAAGTACCATCTGATAATATATGAATTTATTGGCCTGGCTAGCCAAGCCTCATTGTGATAGGCTAGATAGAAAACAAATTCCAAATTTAATCGTGCCTGTAGTAGGCAGAATAATAGCCCCTCAAAGATGTCCACATCCTAATGTTACCTTACATGGCAAAAGGAACTTTGCAGGTACAATTAAATTAAGGATTTTGAGATGAGATTATCTTGGATTATCTGGTGGGCCCAATGTAAACACAAAGGCCCTTATAAGAGGAAGGCAAGATGGTTTGAGTCAGAGGATATGTGATGACAAAAGCAAAGCTCAAAGAGAAAGATTTGAAGGTGCTCTGCATTGCCAGCTTTGAAAATGAAAGAAGGGACCATGAGCTAAAGCATGCGGGGCAGCTCTAGAAGCTGTAAAATGAGAAAAAAAGAAAAAAGAGAAAAAAGATTCTCTCTACAGTCTCCAGAAGGAACTCAGTCCTGTGACACCCTGATTTTAGCTCAGGAAGATCTATTTTGGACTTCTGACTTCTAGAACCAGGAAATAATAAATTTGTTATCTTAAGCCACCAAATTTTTGGTAATTTGTTACATACAACAACAACAGGAAATTAATACAATGCCTCAAGAATATCTCCTTAGCCAGCAACACATGGTATTCAAAACTTACCTTCTAAGAGGTCATGATCTCGTACAGCTTCTGCAGCTAATACAGACTTCCCACAACCTGCCATTCCATACACAGTGACCCATCCTGGTTCACTATTCAGTTTGAAGAGCTTCTGCTGAATTGCGCTCACCAGCTTCTTCCTCGTAACGAAAACGACTGGCCTCTGTGGTACTCCTCCTTCACACAAGACTGTCCTTACTGAAATTCAAAACAAGCATGAATGAAGAATTTTGATATGCTTACTCACGTAATACCATAAAAACCAAAGAAAATAAGACTGAAGCCTTACCCTCAGAATTTCCAAGAGAAATAAGAAATGTGGCTAGCATATTAACTTCAACTTTGATTTCTCTAAACATGCAGAACAAAAGCAAACATATACCTTTCTAGATGACCACAGGCAATGGAAATTTCCATCTATATCTTACCCTATTCTTCTCCGACTCTACAATCTCTTTTCTCATATTAAAGACTGGGAAGACCAATCGTGCAAACGTTAAGAACATAGATTTCTAAAAATTCTTATTCTTTCCTATGCATGAACTCGAGAAACATAGAACTGGAGAACTTAAATAAAGGCCTATAAGTTGTCTTATTATCTCTAAAATTAGGATACGTGCATTATTACCTCAGCAGTAGATAGCTTCCTTGGCAGGAAGAAAATGTGAGAGTTAATATAGATGCAAATAAAAATACGTAGGTTGGAAAACCTAATTATAATTTTTTCACATGCATTTTTCAGTGAACTGATCAGTCTCTTTGGCAGACTCCACATCCAGTAAGACAAAACCGTAGCAATGTAGCTGTTGTGATAGGTATGTGATAGAAGATATTATGGATACAAACCATAGGAAGTTATTCCACCACATGAATCCTTGCCATTGGAAGAAGGGACAACGGGAAGGCCAGCATGGAGAAAGGCAGCAAGATCTTTATACCCTTCATGTAATAGAGCATTGTAGAATGATATGTAGGTATAATTATCTTTTTTAAGTATCATTTTAATCAGCATAGCTGCTCGCTGCTGTTGAGTGGGCTAAAAAAAAGAAATAGTTTAGTATACTACAAAGAATATGTTTGCAACAAATTAGTGAAGACTAGTGCAAGTTTTGAAATAAATTGTAAAAATGTTTAAGGCAGCACAGACTGCCTCAGAGGGCTTTACCTCATTTTTTACTTTTTCCTCTTACGATACTGTTAAAACTCCAGCACTAATCATATGATCCATTATGTAGGATGTTTTTATGTCCTTTTCCAGGGCTTCTCTGTATTGAAGCAAACAATTCCGAGCTTTTGCATCCATCTTCCCTCAATTTTTCTCTCTCTGAGCTCTCAACCATGAGCTACAGGCAAAAAATCAAAATGTTTGTCAGGCCAATAAAGATATGAAAGATGTGTAACCCCATTGGTAATCAAGAAATGTAAAGAAAATAGATTTATTTTACAATTTTTTTAAATGGGCAAAACCCAATGTTTTCAAAGATGTGATGAGTTTTCTTATGCATTACTTGAAGTAAGTACAAAATGGATATAACTTTTCTGAAAGGCAGTATGAGATTGAGAAGTGTTTAAAATAAGCATTCTCTTTAACCCAGAATTTACCTCAAGGAGACATTCACATGTGTATTCAAAAATATCCACAAAAAAAAAAAAAAAAAGAGTTAACAGAGAGGGGTTAGGGGAGAAAAATGATGAAAACAATCAAAATGCCCACCACTGAGTATGGATTTAAAAAATCAAAGTATGTATATAAGATGGAATACTATACACCCATTTAAAATAAAACATATCTCCAAGATACTGACAAGATGCTAATGACACACTGCTGATTGAAAAATCAGAAATATGATCCCACATATAGCATAAAATATGTGTTGACCTCATATAAATACATAAAGAGATGTTTGGAAGTCTGTTCAACAAAATGTCTGGGTTACTTCCAAGTAGCAAGACTTGGGATTTTTTTCCCCAGTTGCTTTTTTGGTACTCTTCTGTATTGTCTTAATTTTTTCAATACACATTATCACTTTTACAATAAAAACTTTTTTAAATATTTTATAAGCACTGATCATACTAAAGTCCTAATGTTTAGAAACTTTTCCTTATCCAATATGACTAAATAGAGCATTTGTTGGTATTGAGTACTAGTTCTTGCTCAAGGTTAATGTCAGCTCTACGTCTTCAAAGGTAGAGCTAGTGGAGTGAGCATTTCTCACATGCTCACTCCACTAGTGTTTCAGCTGAGCTAAGTGTGACAAAGCAACAGGAAATACCCTCTGATGTCATTTCTTGGATTAAGAGAACACCAAAAAGAATATTCTTCATAGCATAACACTCTAAGTTTCTACCAACTTTATTTCAAATATAATGCAAATTTTTCTGTGGGTATAAAACCCAGATAGGAATATTTGTGAGTTTTTAAAAAATTAACAGAATTCTATCCAATGTATTACAGAGAGTATCTAAATGTGTTTATTAATTAATTCATTCAATAAACATTTGAGCCTTTCCAATGTGCCAAGCACTGAGTCTACAGAGAATATTAAATCATACCCCCGAAGGAATTCATAATCTGGTGGGAGAGCAAAACAGATCATTATAATGCGATGTCTTCAGTGCAGAAACAGAGATAAGCACAAGTATTTAGATTGCACAGAAGAGGAGCAATAATCATTAAACTTCAACAGTGACTATTTTTTAAGTGACACCAAATGTGGCACTTGCATACATGGGGAAGTAGAGAATTTGCCTAGTTGTAGAGATTCACAAAATGCCCAGTACTGTCATGAAAATGATAAAAGTTATGATTAAAACTAAAGCTATCATGTTTTTAAATGTTAATGTTTTTATGATCTCAACTTAAACATAAAACATGCCTTAATTGTAGTAATAAAACTGTATAAGATGCAACAAAAATGAATTTTTTAGGCTATGTCCAATAGCCCAATAGACACTCTGACAATCTGAAGCTAACTTCCAACTTTACCTAGTCCTCTTAAAATGCGTTAGATTTAAACTGCACAAATTGAAATATTCTGAACAGAAATTCTCGGTGTTCTACCCTTTGTAACATCAAAATGAAAAGTAACTTCGTAGATGTGAAATAGAGCAATTTCACCCATAAAAACCGTTAATAGTTAACTACTTCCTCTTTAGAGAATTTCTCTTCCTGGTATATAGGAGGTAGGATTATTCCTTGTCCCAGAATTCTGAATCCCCGAAATCGATACTGAATCTCCAAGGAACCCGGTTCAAGGAGAAAAGCGAGGCGCAAACTTACCCAAACCTCCTTCGCACAAAAATTTTACTGGGAAGAGCAGCCCTGCGGGGATAGACTTGGAAATCAAACGTGGGGAGAAGGGGCAACTGGGCTTCCGAAACTCGCGGCGCAGTCCAGGTACAAGTCCGGGTCTCCCAGGTGCCTCACCTGTGCTTCCGCAGCCCTGGGCGCCTGAAGACCCCCGGGGACCTCCGACCAGCGCAAAGGTGGGCGTCACCTCCGCGCAGGGACAACACAGCGCCGGATCCCTGAGATGAGGCCTGGCCTGAGGTCTGCCCTCTCGGTGGACCCCACCCCAGACACAAAGGGAGGGCGGCCCCACAAGCTGTCGCTCCTTCTCCCAGGCGGCAGCTGCACCCCGGGTGCCCGGCGCCAGTCCGGACGCCGCGGTGGCTACTTCGAGTCCTCGCGGGGAGCTGACGGCCCAGCACCCTGACCGTGGGCTCTCTCACCCCTTTTGCCCAGGAATAAAGCATCCGCGTGCAACCGATTCCTCCTCTTTTGCTTAGGACCGCGGAGAAGTCAAAATCCACGGAGCCCGCCCAGCCCGGACAGCGCGTGCCCGCGCATGCAAATAAACACGCTTGGAGCCCCGCCTGGGGCGGCCGCCGCCGCGCGCGCTCCCGCTCCGGCTCGTGCCCGCGCGCGCACGAGGGAGCTCTCTGCCCCAGCCCACAGCGGGGA